CCTGGCAGGGGCTGCTCTCTGCAGTCAAGGCTGTTTACGGAACATTTCTCTCCCCCCTTGGAATGGCAGCTCCCTGAGGGCAGGGCTCCTGTGTGACATGCTCCTCAGGCTCCCCGGCCTGGCATAGAGCCCAGCCCAGAATCAACCTGTGCTGAGGCCACTGCCCTTGGGCGCATGATCGCTATGGTGTGGATGGACGGATGGGCAGGTGGACCCTGGGGACAGGCGGTGGGTAAGTGCATGGACACAGGTGCTTAAAGATGGACGAACAGGTGGGTGGATGGGCCCAGGCCGTGGCCACCACAGGCAAGGACACAACCCAGCCCCCACCCCCGCTGTCCCGACATGGCAGCTGTGTCCCCAGCAGTGGGGACTCTCCTGTGCTCAGTGGTTGGGAGGAGACCGCCACTCTTTGACTCCAGGGAGAGGCTGATGGCGTTTACTGCTTTTGTACAAATTATGGCTGCCAATGAGAGGCCCAAGGAGCCGCGTAATGGATGTCATAAACCTGCCTGGTAAAGACAGTACTGGTATTGGTCCTGGCACAGAAGGGTGTGGCAGGATCCTGGCGGCTGGTGGGCATACACAGTGCCCACCTGGCTGGGTCTCTGCCCCCTCCTCCTGCCCACGTCCTGGCCTGCCTGCCCGGGCCTGCTCCCAAGCATGCAGGCAGGCTCCCTCCTCAGGGGCCTTGGGGCCTCTCACCTGCCCCTCTGTTCAAACCTGTGCCTGATTCGGCCAGCCCGGTGCCTCATCCTGCCCACCTCCCAGCCTCCCTGTCCAGGGTCTGCCCCTGCCGCCAACCTGGCCCCGCCTCCTGCCCTCCTGAGTTGAGCTTAACACCCTGAAGGGAGCAGCGACCCCCAGCTTCCGATCTTCCTCCCCCATGCGCCCACCCCAGCTGTGGCCACGCTCAGCACACACCGGCTAGAAAGGAGGTGAGGGTGGATTTCTGTACAGCTCAGTGTGTGCAGGGCGGGCGTCAGCAGGGTCAGGAAGGGCCTGGGGGGCTGTGGCCAAGTTGGCACTACTGGGGGCAGAGGGCATGTGGGCATCACCACACTGGCAGCTCTTCTCAGAGGGACAAGGGGCTGGTGGCCACATGGAAGACAATACTGGGCAGGCAGAGCCATGTGATGAGGGAGGCTGAGGCTCTCAGCTCCCGGTCACTGAGGTGGGCACCCACTGGTGGCCCATTGGCCTCTCTGGGCCTATGTCCCCGTCCAGAGAATGGGATGATCTGGTAACTAAATGCTGCCATACAGGGTGAGATGGGTCCCTGAGGCCTGGCCCAACCATAGGCTGTGGCCACAACCCTGTCACTCGCCCGTCCCCTCACCCCAGGCCCTGCACCACCACCCCTGCTGGCGACGGGGCCTTCCAGAACACTCTGCATGGGTGCAGGAGGGCGGGCCAGGGTACTATGCCAGCAGGAGTAGCTCCAAGCCCAGCAAGCCCTGGTGTATCCTCATCCGTCTAATGAGCTCCCCAGCCACCTGCCAAGCTGGAGTCAGTCGCCACATCTGTCTTACAGCGATGAGGTGGCCGAGAAGGCCACACCACACACTCAGGACAGAAGCTGCTGAGGATGAGGAAGGGCTGGGGCTTTGCTGGCCACCAACGTGGGCAAAATTAAACCACTCTAAGGACGGTTCATAGAATCAGATGGGTGATGAATGCCCGTGCTGCTCAGCAACACAGGAGGCTGCTGGCCTGGCTGTGGCTGCTCCTGAGGCCACAGTCACAGACATGCAGGCAGCAAGGGGTGCACACATGCAAACATGCAATGCCGCGTGGCCACAGGCAGCGAGCATGCAGGGTGTCCTGAGAAGCCTGCAGCACACACAGAAACACAGGTCTCTCTCACACACACACAAACACACACACACACACACACGTGGGTGCACATACACAGAAGCCCAGGGAGGCACATGTGGCCCTGCTCGACAAGGCAACACATAGACCCACACAGCCCACAAGGAGTGCCGCAGACACAAGCTGCACACAGGACAGGCACAGATCCGCCTACACGCTCACGCACACTGTGTACACACATGCACACACACATGCACACATGCTCACATGCACACAAACACATGGACACAAATGCACACACATGCAGACACAAGCACACGCACAAACGTGCGCATACATACACGTGCACCCACATGCATACACACAAGCACACACACCCACATGCACACATGCATGCACGTGCACGCACACACGAACACATGCATACACACAAGAACACACCTACATGCACACACACGTGCACCCACACACATGCACATGCACACATGCACATACACACATGCACATACACAGGCACACACAGCAGCCCCACCCTAGGGAGCACCTGGGAAATCTGAGGGCTGTAGGGAAGTGCTGAACCCCAACCAGTGGGTCCCAGACGCCAGCGTGATCCAGACCCTCACCCAGGGCCCTCTTGCTCCCGGTCCCTGCCCTGTGCCTGGGCATGCACCCCCAGGCCAGTTCTGGGTCCTACACCCCTGGGGGGGTCTGACCTCAACCTGCCTCCAGCATGGGGACGTGTTGTGGGAAGAGCACTTCCGAAGAGGCCGGGCGTCTCCCTGCTGCCTGCCTGGAGCCTGGGCTCTCCCCTGCAGCCCCCCACACGCCAGACACAGGTGGCCCCCAGGGCTGACAGCATGGGAGATCGAGGGCCCCGCTGGACCAGGGCCCTGCTCACACACTGGCACAGGCAGGGCCCATCTGCACGTGCCAGTGTCTGAAACAGGCTTGTGTGCCAGGTTCCAGCGCACACACAGGACCATCTGCAGGCCTCGGGGTCCTCCTGGCTCCTGTGGCTTGGAGGGGACCCCATCCCCCATGCAGCAGGCCAGCCCCGCCCCCTGGCCACTGCCATCTGCCACTTCAGCGGTGGGGGTTGAGCTGCAAGCAGCTGACAAGGTAATGATGGCCTTTCTCAGAAAACATTGAGAGAGCCTTAGGGAGAAGACTTGAATAACAAGTGGAGACTCAGAAGCAGAAGGGCGCCTCGGGGATCAGGGTAGAGACACCCAGGTGTCCTAGGGGCCACAGACCCGCTGGGGTGGCCACGGGAGTTTGACACGCGCACACCTCACCCAAAACGGGGGGCAGAGCCCACTCTCCAGCGCATAAGACCCAGCCCCCATTCTGATCCACAGTGAGCTGGCACTCAGAGATGCCACGAACACCCTCAGTCTGGCACCTACGGCGGCCACAGCCCTCCTCTGCCCATGGAGTCTGCATGGGGGGGATGGGCTCACGGCACCCCGACTTGGCCAGGTGCCTCCCAGTGGCCGGGGCCAGGTGGCCTCAGCCCTTTTCCACACTCGAACCCGGAGCACACACTGCAGGAGCCGGGCTGTCAGAATGTGGCTGATGACCTGCCCAGGACACCACAGGGAGAAGGGCAGGGAACATCATCATAATCACAACGACAGCTGTGAGGACACCCACAGCCCCTCTGAGGGGCTGCCCCCACGCACAGACGACAAAGCAAGGCTGCCCAAGGCCCCGTGCTGCACAGGAGGAAGGAAAGCCCTCAGGAAGAGGCCCCTTGGGCAGCAGCTGCTCCAGGAACCCTTGCCCCGAAGAGAGCTCCAGCCAACCCAGGTCAACAGCTCATGGACTCTGGGCCAAACCAGGTGAGAGGCCAAAGGCAGAATCCACAGTGGCAGAGCCGAGCCCAGGGTAGCAGAGCTGAGCCCGGGGTGGCAGAGCCCAGGGTGGCAGAGCTGAGCCCAGGGTGGCAGAGCAGAGCCCTGGGCTTTAGACAGACCCTCAGGCAAGAGGGCAGCCTCAGGGGAGCTGGGGTGGGGTGTGGAGGGCCCAGCTGAGCCCCTGCTGTGTGACCCAGCCACGTGGCCGGTTCCTGCCCTGGACGCCCAAGGGTCCAGGGATCATGGGGTCCACTCCCAGCCTGTGGCCACACCACACATGTGGCTCCCTTGCCGCCTCCTGTTCTGCCACCAGCAGAAGCCATGGAACGGAGGGCGTGGGGGGCTGTCCCACTGGGCCTGGCCACACCAGGTCACTAATGGGCTAATTACATGCCCTGTAAAGCTGCCGTGGTTTAGTAAGTGAGTCTCTCCAGCCCTGGGTCATGCAGGGGCTGCAGGGATGACGTGGGCGGAGTCCGCCCCCCACCCCCAAACGAGCTGAGCAGGCCATCAATCTGCAGAAATGGCTCTTATGGAGCTCTGGGTTTTATGATGTTATTAAAGTCCTCCTGATACTTAAAGGGAAATAAAATCAAGTCGTGAGGAGGGGCAGGGCTGCTCCCCAGGGAAAAGTGGTGCCGGGGGCCAGGGAGATAGGGCTGGGCCTCCAAGTCCAAGGCAGGGGTGGTGCCAGCCTCCCAGTCCAGGCACACCTGCAAGGAGCCCTCTACCATGCCACACGCACCCACAAGGAGGCAGGCGCACCCAGGCTCTTCCCCCACCCCTGCACAAACAAGTCTCGCAGGCGGCACGCGGGTCTCCCTGCTGGCCACGGGATACCAGCTCCCTGGGCATTGCCCTGCAGTGCCCGGCCTGGGCCCAGGCCTCTCTGTCCAGGGTGAGGCATGTGCCAGTCAGGGCGTTGGAGGCGGCTGCTCACACATGGGAACCTCCCACGCGAAATGTCCCAGGCCCCCAACAGGACCCCAGGCAGAAGCCTGGCCCTGGCCCCGCGGATCCCGGCACCTGCAGCCTTGGCTGGGGTCTGTGCAGGCTCATTCGGAGGCTCCACAGCCACAGGGCCAGCCTGTTCCCCCGGGCAGCATGTCAGCCTGGGGGGCCCCGGCAGACCGTGAGGACGCTCCCCCAAATCTTGGCTCCAGAACTTGTTCACCCACCACCGGCCCCATGGTGGTTGAGGCCAGAACCAGTCTGGGGCTCCAGAGGGAAGTGGGCATGGGACAAGGCGAGCCAGGCTGCGGAGCCTCGGACAGGTGAGATGGGGGCCCCAGGGGGACAAAGATGGTGGGGGGGTGCTGGGGGACTTACGGAGTAGCCTCTCCCCGAGACCGCCTGCGCAGAGCTCTGCAGAAGGAAGGAAGGACAGTCAGTAACACTGTGGCTCTGATCCCAACTCCTGGGGACGCACCTGGCCACCTGCTCTGCAACCCACAACCCAGCTGAGCACTTGTCCCAAGTGGGGACAGGTCGATGCCCAGACCCAAGACCACCAGTGAGACATCCTCCCAGGCAGGGGCCGCCAGGGCTGAGGCCTTGGGGAGGACAGAGCTGGGCGTCGTGGTGGGGTCCTCCCTAGGAGCTGCCGTCCTCCTGGCCCAGCCAGTGTGAGGCTCCCCTGCTCTGGGGTCCAAACCCAAGGAGGCACCCATGGAGACACCCTTGGCCAGTTCCTTGCCCCCATGAGGGAAGGCACTGCCAGAAACGCTTCTCAGAGGAGGCAGGAAAACCTAGGGGAGGCCAGCCCGGGGCCCCAGCTTCTGCTGACCTCCCTCTGTGCCCACCATCAGCCCGGGGCCCCAGCTTCTGCTGACCTCCCTCTGTGCCCACCATCAGCCTCTGTGCCCATCAGAGGGTCTGCAATTGCAGGACTTCAGGGAGGGCGTCCTAGCTGGTCAGGGAAGGCTTTCTGGAGGAGGTACCAGATGGACCCCTCCAAGAAGCGTTCACCACAGGGGCCTGACCTGACGGGGAGCAGGGATGGCAGCTGGGGGCCCCTCAGACATCAGGGCACGCTCTGGTCTGAAGGGCTGCTGGAGGACCCCCGATAACCCTTGGTGGGGCTCCCTCTGGTTCGAGTAGGTATTGTGAGGCCTTCAGGACAGAGCTGTGGGTCACATCAGCTACACACCAGGGTCTCCCTCAGCAGGAGTGTGGGGAAGAAGGCTCAGAGCTGCTGTAGTGGGTGGGGCGGCTCACTAAGGACTTGGGTACTTGGTACGGCTGGGGCACACAGAGAGGGTCCAGAGCAGTCTGGGGAGTGGGGGGCAGATGTAAAGATCCAACACCCCCTCTGAGGGGCAGGGGCAGAGGAGGAAAATGGGGCCACTCCCCCGAATGGATCCACGACCCCCGCTGCAGTCAGAGAGGACATCCCCTCCGCTTCCCCAGACGGACCTCCCGGGGCCAGGTCAACTCCAGAGGCCCCAGGGTATCAGAGGACAGAGCCCAAGGCCCTGGGTCCTGATGGGCCCACCCGCCAGCTCCTGGCTACCAGAGGGTGGGGGCCTTCGTGCCCTGAGTTTCAGCCTCAGCCCAGCTGCAGTTTTGTGCTAAGAATGTGACCTCGTTCACCCAGGGCTGGCAATCAGAGGATGAGCTGGGGCAGCGGCAGCCCAGATAATTCTCGGCCTATTTCCTATCTCGTGGCGACAAGCCAGGAAGCTGAGCAGTGAGGCCTCCACTTAAATGATACTGAGACGCCTTGGGTTCCGTTCAGGCCCGCAAGAAAGCCGCCCACTGCCCCTCACCTGCAGGAGCTGGGGAAGGGGTGCCAATGGCCTCCTCCCAGCCGGGTGGGCTACTCCGCCTTCACCACAGCCGCAGCCCGACGCCCCCACGGCCACACTTCAGGGGACAGCCCCGTTACTAGCCAAATCCTGTCTGTGAGCCCACATGTGGGGGGGGCGGTCCCAGACCCCCTGGGGACCTGGCGCCCAGGGGCCTCTCTCAGGGACACGGAAGGTGTGTCTTCTTGACCCTGGTCAGCGTGTGCCCCGCCTGGCACAGGCACACCGATAGCCAGGCCGGGATGCTCGGCCCAGACCCGCTCGGGGTGAGAGAAGCGCCTTCCACTGACGTGGAACAAACCCCAGCTCCTGCCACCCACCACACTCCGCCCGTCTCCTGTCCCGGCCCACGCGGTGGGTGGGTGTCCCCAGCAGCAGGACAGGGGAGTCATTGCAGCCCAGGTGACCCCAGTGGCAGCCCCAGGGCTCTTACTCCAGGCTCAGCCGCCAACCTCCCCCCTCCACCCCGAGGGCAGCTCATCGTGTTCCTCTTTTAAATAAATCCCTCCTAATGGGGAAAGTCCTAATGAGTAAAAGATCCTGCTTTAATGAAGGCAAAATGCTAACGGCTAAAACACAGCCTTCACAGGAAATCGGGGCCCTGACCAGGGGCTTCTGGACAGGCGACTGGGTACTCACATCGCTGAGTGGGTCTCGGGAGCTGCTCCACCGGGAGCTGGTGGCTTCGAGGACGCTGTCATCATCACTGTCCCGGTCGCCCCCTTTGGACACGGTGACCTTCATCTGGGACAGAGAGAGACACCGTCTCAGGCAAACCCCCACCTCACCACATCCACATTGAGGCCCCTGGGCTACAGCTACAGGCCCGTTCCTGGCAAGCAGCCCTGAGACCCGACGGCCACTTGGCGCTCTGGGACGTGACGCACTGCGGAGGGTGAGCCGGGTCCCAGTCTGGGGGCGGGGGCAGTGGCAGGGCAGAGCACTGCAGAGCCAGGAAAGCCACCCAGGATGCGGATGACCCGCCCAGGAAGCACCCCCGTTCGGACCCCCCCTTCTGCAAGTCGCTGACTCTGAAGACATCCTGGGGGTGCTGGGGACCACGGGCAGGGCCTCCGCCACACCCTGGCCTCTTCTCAGCCCTAATGGCCAGGCAGCTCCCTGGCTGGGTAGCACCACCACCCCATCCGGCTGCACAGGGCCTGAGGCCTCCAGGCTGAGCCTCGGTGCCACCCCCTGCCTCTGGCTGTGCCCACACCACCTCCTTTGGGTGGCACCATTCCAGGGCAAGCAACGAGGTGGGTGGTGGGACCTGCCCATCCCTGGCTGTGTGAACCGTGGGCCACTGGTCGGCCTCCCCATGCCTTGGTTTGTTCACCTGCAGAGGAAGTGGCCACATTCACTGCCCCCCACCACCACCTCTGATGCCAGCCAGCACAGGCGCTGCTGCGTGCCAGGGTCCGGCCCCGGCGCTTTGCACGCACTCACACACATTTGCTCACACGGCAGCCATGAGTAGAAACTATTTTCCTTCACGTTTCACAGATGAGAAACCAGACCCAGAGCCCTGCATGTTTCATTTTTTTACTTGGAAATAAATTCAAACCTGCACAAAGCTGAGGGAGGTGAGAGGCAGAGGTCCCGCTGACCAGCCCGCAGCAGGGATGCCCTGCACAGCTGCTTCCAGCCTCCTGTGGAGGCCCCACCGTCTCCCTCTCTGGCCACCTTGATCTGGAACAATTCTGCACCTTGTGGCGACTTGCCCCAACACGCCTGGGCCCCCAGACCTTGCATCCCGGGGCCCCGGGTGAGCCCTTCACACTGAGTCATCCAAGTCAGAGAACGCCCAGCCCCAGGAACGTGTCCAAGTCAGGAGCGTCCCCCGAAAGCACCCCGGCCCTGGGGTGCTCGTTGGACTGGCTGGTGTGGCTGAGCACAGCCATGAGCCTGGAGTCAGCCAGGCCCACCCCTCGCACCCCCGATGCCACAGGCCTCCCGGTCCTGTGCCCCCTTCCCTCTGTGGCTGATGGTGCACACGACAAGGCAGACGGTGCTGGTGATGATGAAGAGATGTCACCCAGGCCCCTGGGGTCAAATGCATGCGGCCCATGAGGTCAGTCCAGCCTCAAGGAGCAGAAGTGAACACCAGAGGAGGAGGAGGAGGAGGCCCCGGCAGGGCAGGGTGGCAGCCCCCAGGGAGTCTGGGCCTTACCGTGCGGGAGCCAGTGGCAGGACGGTGGGCTAGCGGCCAGCTCAGTGGTGCAGTGGCCCTCACAGGCCCTGGCCAGGATGCCCCGCTCCTCCCAGCAGTGTGGCCTCAGGCACATGACTGACCCCGCCCCCCCCCACCTCAGTTTCCGCATCTGTAAATGGCCCCTCCTCGCAATGAGGTTCCTGTGGGCTGGGCCGGGGGCCGGCACCTTCCAGGCCACCAGGTGTCACTGTTGTCACCGGCTGGACTCTCGCCACCCCTCCTTCCTCAGCCCCAGACCTGGCACTGTGGTCTCAGCCTGGCCGCTATGCCCACTGGGTCCCACACCTGCTGCCCTGCTGGGGCGGTTGAGGGTTCTGTCCACCCCCAAAAGGAGCGGAGGTTCTCCATCCTGATCCGGATTCTCCACACAGGGTCCGTCCCCCAGAGCCTCTCAGGAATGAATTTCCAGGCCCACTCCAGGAACCGTGTGTTACCGGCCACCTGGGGAGTCCGACCATTGGGAATGGCCCCATAAGCCCTGCACACGCTGCCAGGGGCAGCACCAGCAGGGACAAAAAGGCAGCCACAGGGCCGCCGAGTACAGTGGTGCGGGAAGCTCACTGCCCAAGGACGCCCAGCCGATGAGAGGAGACGCGGCTGAGATACACCCACACAGCTGAGCCGCGAAAAGCAGGGTGCCTCTCTGCCCTTCTCACAAAAGCTACCTGCGGTCAGGGCTGGGTGCAAAGGGAACACCTCACCCCCATGCCACAGAGGGACTCTGCGGGGTGCTCTGCGTGTGCCCCTCCCAAACGCAGAGGCCCTGTGGGGTGGCCAGGCAGGCCGTGGGGCAGGGTCTCTCCTCCTTCCTTGGGTGGCCAGTTTTAGCTCTGAAAGCCTGTCTTGAAAAAGCATGCAGAACTGGCTCCTGGACACAACCCACTGTGCACCCGGGCAAGACCCCAGACAGCGAGGCGGTTGCTCTCAGCCCTGCACTTCACAGCGGCTTCTCAGTGCTGCCCGCCGGCCAAGCCAGGGGCTGGGGAGGCCACACGTCCACTCCCAGCAGGAGCTCGGGGACAAGATCACAGTCCCTGGACTCCCAAGCCCACGTCCGGGGCCAGAGGGTGCCCCCATTTCCAGGGTGGGTGGGAGCTACCATGGGGTAGAAAGTCTCCTAAATGCTGAGGCAGGAGACTGAAGCCTCAGCCAGCTTCTGTTTAATAAACAACAGAGAGAGAAGAATCTAGTCAGGAATGAAGGTCCTGCATGATTAGATCACAGTCTTATTGAGTATCCAGCCTTGACTAAAGCGTTCTTGTGCTTTATGCATAATTATCTATGAACTTCAGGTTGCTGTGGTCAGGGATTGACAAGGGACACTATGAAATGTGACCACGAGGAAGAGCATTGATACCCGCCGAGCATCACGACCGGTGGTGCCCAGCAGAGGCAACCTGCTGAACGCAAGCCCAGCAGCACCGCTGGAGGGCATCTCAAAGCTCTGCGGCAGCGCCAGTGCTGGGGAAGCACCCGAGACTCAGCCTTGGAAGGGCACCTCCCCCGTCCTTGGGTGAGCTGGAGAACACTCCACTCCACTCCAGCAGCTTGAGGAAGGACTGAGCCTAGTCGGCCCGACGCAGCTGCCCGAGGGCTTCACTGTGTGCGTGGTGCTGTGCTGTGTTGGGTGCGATGTGTCTGCTTTCCCTCCTTACTTCTGCACCTGGTTCTTCTTTTGAAGACAGTAAGAAGCAGCATAATGCTTGAAGCCTTTGCGTCTACTCGGCAGGTGCACCAAGTGCTGAGGCGTCACTGCCCCTGCTTCGGATACTTGCAAGCCTGGGGCCCCTTGTTCACGAATTTCAAACGTAAGCTGTTTGAAATTCACCCTACTTACTCTGCCCCCATTTTGTACCTAATAAAAGTCAGTGTCCAGGCACTCGGGGCCACTACCGGTCTCTCTGTGAACTGGTGGCAGTGGACCCCTGGGCCCAAACTCTTTTCCTCCCCATCTCCGCATGCTGCATCTTTATTTCCACAGGCTCTCATCTTCGCACCCGTAGAGAACACCCTCTAGACCCAGCAGGGCTGGACCCTGCACTACCGCACCTGTGCCCACCGGGCCCTGTGGTTGGTCCACCCATCTGTCCACCCATCCAACCAACGCTTATGAAGGCCCCACGAGCTGGGCACCGTTCTGAGCAGTGAGCAGAGCAGACCCAAGCCCCTGCCCTTCCGGGGTGACAAAGGAGCAGCCGTTCCCCGTGCACACAGAACACAACTCCTGCCAGGCAGCAGGTGCTGGGGGAAGGAGCGCACGCCAGAATGTAGCAGCACGATCTCAGCTCACTGCAACCTCCGCCTCCAGGGTTCGAGCAATTGTTGTGCCTCGGCCTCCCAAGTAGCTGGGATTAGAGGAATGCACCACCATGCTCAGCCAATTCTGTGTATTTTTAGTAGAGACAGGGTTTTACCATGTTGGCCAGGCTGGTCTTGAACTCCTGACCTCAAGTGATCCGCCCATCTTGGTGTCCCAAAGTGCTGGATTACAGGTGAGGCACCTCGCCCGGCCTGCCCCCTTCACTTCTGTATTTCTGCTCTTGTCTGTATCCGGCCTTCCTGTATCTTGTTTTCGTTTTGTTGCTGTCCGTTTGTTTCTTCAGGTAAAGCCTCAGGGTTTTAAGCCTTTCTCTTTCTCTAACAAGTATTCAGGCTGGTTTTCCTCCCATCATGCTTTACCTGCATCCCAGCAATTCTGACCTAGGATTCCCTATTTTCTAATGAAATTCAGTTCAGAGGGAGATTTAGGAGCTGGGTGTGCTGGGTGGGAGGGGAGGAGAATGACTGTCAACTTCTAGCTCAGTCACCTGGGTGGACGCTAGGTTCACCCACCGAAATGGGGCAAAGACAGAAGCTGCGCGTCTGGTCTGTCCACGCCAAGTGAGAGGGGCATCCTGGGTCCCAGCCGAACACTCTGAGCTGAGGCTGTGCTTGTGGAGGACAAGGAGACAGCAGACACCGGGAACAGCACGGGCATGGGACAAGAACACACAAAGGGCATCCTGTTCTGCCCTCCCGTCAGCCCTGTGGTCACTGGGCACGTAAGCCAACAGTCTGAACTCAGAAGTGCACCTGCAGCTTTCCTAGACTCACTACAAAAAATAAAATGAAAAATATCTGATAGTTTCTATATTGATTACATTGTTGAGATACTATTTTCAAAGTACATGCACTGAATTTCATTAAGATGAATTTTACTTATTTCTTCCTACTTCTTAAATATGCGGCTCACAGAATATTCCTACTGAACAGTGCTGGCCTAGGAGAGTCCAGGGCCCTGCCCACCCCTGCTGGATAGGAAGCCACACTCTACCGGGTCCCAGGGTGTCTATCCCCAGGGAGCCCTGCAGGGCATGTGCCAGCCCTAGGAGACGCTTCCTGCTGAACCCTCACACGCAGGCAGACCCTGTGGATCAGCATGGAAACCACTCTCCCTCAGGCTCCCCACAGCCTGGCCACCTGCTAAGGATGCCCCTACCACTGCAGCTTCTGACTGGAGGAGGACAGCCAGTGGCCTCTGCCCAGTCAATGC